TCACGAGGGCAGCCTGAGTCTCTTCTGTGACTCAGCCTGCACTTGGTTAGCCCGAGATAAGATGCGTGCAGAGCTTCCTAACAGAAAGGAAAAAAAAACTGGCAGATGCTGGCAGTCTGAAATAAAAACAGAAAGAGCCGGAGAGAGTCAGCAGGTCTTGTAGCATCTGTCGAACAGGAAATAGAGTTAATATTTTGAATCCAGTATGGGTTTGGATTCGAAGAAGCTTCATTGGGCTTGAGGCATTAACTCTATTTCTCACTCCACAGATGCTGTCAGGCATGCACAATTTCCTGTGACACAGGATTTATTCACAGTGGTCACTAATTGAAATGGTATTCCGATTTATTTAAATGGGTCTGATTTTCTGAGGAGTGGTAATTTCATGCAGATTACCATTCCAGACCTTTTTTTCTGACAAAAGAAGGGAGTTCTGGTCAGGTCTGCCTCAGGAATGCAGAGCTGTGCTTCCATCTCATAGTGTAGGCCTATCAGAGGAAAGTAAACCATATCCCCCTTTCACAACAGTTAGTTGCTGTATTCTGAAGTTTTAAGTCATATTGATAGCTGCTGTCACAGGGAGACTATATTCAGTAAATGTGATGTTGAGGTGCTTGGAGGCTAGGGTGCCCAGGTGGGTGCGCGGTAGGAGCGGGTGCTATGTGTGTAGGGAGCCAGCTGGGTAGGGTGTTAGGTGCCATGTAGGTAGGGTGCTAGGCACCATGTAGGTAGGGTGTTAGGCAAGTACAGTGCGAGCTGAGCAGGGATAGAGTGTCAGGAGTACAATGCCAGGTGAGTAGGATGCCAGGCATAGGGTATCAGATGGGTAGTGAGTAGGGTGCTAGCTAAATACGAAGCCAGCTGGTTAGGATGTGGTGGAAAGGGCTGGCTACCAGGGTTGCAAGCTAACTAATGCACTGATTCGGCTAGGTAAGGGCTGGTAGGAGAGCTTGGAACCTACAGCAGCGGGGGATGCAGTTTCGGTCCAAACTGGTGGAGGGAATGGGGCAGTGGCGTAGAGTCAGGTCCAGCAGGGTGGAGGCAGGGATAAGTCTGATGAGTGGCAGGGTAAATATGTGCTAAGTATGGGATTATTTAATAGTAACTCTGAAGTCAGACTATTTATTTAAAAACTTAACATTTCTTACATTACTTCATTTCAGTGGACGTCTCTGATTTAAATTTATTGCTTGTGTCTCTTTTTAATAGGACATTCTTGTTCAAAGCTTGAGAAGCCAAATGGGCATTTTTCTGCTCCTAATTCTTTATTAATTACGTTCTTAATATAAATAAGTCATCACACAGTCTGTAAACTGTCCCAGCTTTTAATGTGAACCTATGTGAGAACATTGTATCATAAGCCTGACTTCTGACTTGCAGATGGTGGACAGGTTTTGGGGACTCAGAAGGCAAGTTACCACAGTCGCTCTCAGCTTCTGCGCTCCCCTTGTAGCCAAAGTATTTATGTGGTGAGACGATATTTCCTTTTCTGGTCAATGGTAACCCAGATGATGTTGATAGTAGAGAATTTAGCATGGTAATGGTAACAGATAAGAGTCATAGAGCTTTTTGCAACAGGGAGAAAAGCCATTTGGTCTTTTGTGTCCATGCAATCATCAACCATCCATCTACTCGAATCCCATTTTCCAACTCTTGGCATGTTGCCTTGAATGCTACAGGGTTTCAAGTGCTCACCTAAATAGTTCTCAAAAGTCTTGATGGTTCCTGCCACTACCACCCTTTTAGGCAGCGAGTTCCAGATATCCACCACCCTCAGGGTGAAGAAAAAGCTTTTCTCAAATCTCTTCTAAACCACGTTAAGGGTGGACCTCTTGGTTATTGACCTCTGTACTAAGGAGGAGGCAATCATCTTTCTATCAAACCTATCTATGCCCCTCAGAATTTAAACACCTCAGTCAGGTCCCTCCTTGGCCTTGTCTGCTCTCAGGAAAACATCCCCCAGCCTATTTTGTCTCTCTCCATAGCTGAATCACTCCAGCTCAGGCAACATCCTGTTGAACCTCTTCTGTACCCTCTCTCATGCAATCATGTCCATCTATAGCATGGCCACTAGAACTACACTGAGTACTCCAGCTGATGGCTAATTAACATTATTTACAGCTCCATCATAACCTCCTTGCTCTTGTATTCAATGCCTTGACTAATAAAGACAAGTATCCTATATGCCCTGTTAACCATCTTATCTATTTGTTCTACTGCCTTCAAGGACATACACACCAAGGTCCCTCCGATCTTCCATACTTCAGAGGGTCCTATCATTTAACATGTTCTCCTTTGCCTTGTTAGCCCTCCCATAATGCATCACTCACACTTTTCAGGATTAAATTCCATTTGCCACTCTTCAGCCCATCTGACAAGCTCATCTACATCATCCTGTAGTCTAAGGCTTACCTCCTCATCATCTACCACATCACCAATTTTTGTGTCATATGTGAATTTATTGATCATACCTCCTACATTCATGCCTAGATCATTAATGTACGGGATCTGGCACCAAACACTGTGACATGCTACTGGACAGAGGCTGCCAGAGACAAAAACACCCTTCAACCAGCACCCTCTGCTTCCTGCTACTAAGTAAATTTTGGATTCAAATTGACAAAGTGCCCTGGATCCCATGGGCTCTTAGGTTCTTAGTCAGACTGCCACATGAGACCTTGTCAAAAGCCTTATTGAATTCCAAATAGACAATATATCAACAGCATTGCCCTCATCTACACACCTTCAAATTTGGTAGACATGGTCTCTTCTGAAAAATCCATGCTGACTATCCTTGATTAGTCTGTGTCTTTCCAAATGATGATTAAGTCTGTACCTGAGTCTTTCCAATAGTTTTTTTTCCAATAGTTTCCCTACTATAGATGTTAGACTTCCTGATTTATTCCTACCATTTCTTGAATAATTATAGCACATTACCTCCGGTCCTCTGGCACCCATCCTGTGGCCAGAGAAGATTTGAAAATTAATGTCATGGCCCCTGCACTCTCTTCCTTTGCCTCCCACAGCAGCTGGGATACATCTCATTTGGGATTTATCCACTGTCAAGCCTGCTAAAAACATGAATGCTTCCTTCCTCTCAGTGACAATTTGTCCAAATATAATCCTAGTCCCCTTCCCTGATTTCTAGACCTACATCATCCCTTTCTATTGTGAATACAGATGCAAAGTACACTTTCAAAACCTCAGCTAAGTCTCCAGCTCCACACACAGATTGCCACTTTGGTTCCTACTCTTTCCCTGATATTCTCTTGCCCCTGGTATACTTATAAAATGCTTTTGAATTATCCTTAATGTTACCCTCCAGTGTTTTCTCATGTCCCTTCTTTGCTGTTCTAATTTCTTTTGTATGTAACACCTTGCATTTCTATACTCCACTAGGGCACCCACTGTTTTGAGCCTTGGTATCTGCCATAAGTTTGCTTTATCTTTCGTATCCAATCCTGTTCACCCCTTGACATCATTTGGTGATGTCAAGGTCAAGTAGTTTTTCCCTCATGTTGGTTCCCTCAACACCTTCTGCAGATCTGGTCTTGTAGCTATGTCTTTTGGGACTTGATAATGTCTTTGTATTGAAGTCCCTCACCTAATGTAAATTCTGCGCCATTGCCCTGTGCATAGTTCGAGTTGTATTCGACATGGAGGAGCACTGGGCTAGAGGAGCGGTCATTGGTAATTAGCAGGTTGTTTCCTTGTCCATGTTTGACCTGATGCAACAGCTTTCATGTGGTCCGGGGTCAATGTTAAGAGCTCCTACGGCAACTCCCTCCTGACTGTAGACCACTGCGCTGGTACCTCTGATAGATTTGTCATGTGGGTAGGACAGGCCAAATCCAGGGATGGTGATAGTGATGTCTGGAACAATGTATGGCAAGTTCTGTGAGAATGAGTATAATAGGTTGTTGGTGAAACTCAGCAGGTCAGGCAGAATCTGTGGAGAGAGAAACAGAGTTTTTATTTTGAGTCTGTTCTGAAGAAGTCACATCAGACTCTGAATCATTAACTCTGTTTCTCTCTCCGTCCTTGCTGCCAGAACTGCTGAGCGTATCCTGCACTTTCTCTTTTCATTTCAGATTTCCAGCATCTGCAGTATTTTACTTTTGTCAGCTATTACTTGATTCGTCTGTGGGACAGCTTTCCCAATTTTGGCCCAAGCCCCTAAATGTTAATAAGGAGCTCTGTGTGTCATTGGATTTAGGATTTTTTGAATGATCTTGTCACACCACAATATCATAAGAAATAGGACTATTTGGCCCTTTGAGCCTACTCTGCCATTCAACAGGATCATGGCTGATCTGACATTCCTCATGTCCACTTTTCTACACTTTCTCCGTAAACCCTTGGTTCCCCGAATGATCAAAACTTAAATGTGTACAAGTACTCTGCCGCCAGAGCTCTCTGTGGCAAGGAATTCCAAAGACTCACAACCCTCTGACAGAAGAAATTCCTCCTCATCCTCAGTCTTAAATTGCACCCCCTCCTTAATTCTGAGACTGTGTCCTCTCTGTTAGACTCTCTCATGAAGGGAAACATCCTTAGCATTTACCCTGTCAAGCCCCTTAACAATCCTATCTGTTTCAATTCGATCACCTTTCATTCTTCTAAACTCCAGTGTTTCAGAATGGGCTACTGAATGTAACACAGATGAAGGCTGACAAATGGACAGGCAGATTCTGCAGGCATCAGGTTCAGGGCAATGGTGGGACCAGTTGTTTTCAACATCACCAACTCAGCAATAATGTGATGGAACAGAACTCCACACCTCACACCTTCATCCGAGTATCTCCCCCCCCTCCCCTAAACAGTTATACAACCAGCCTGATTTTCATCACACTGGAGAAAATGAAATTAATATTATAATAGATGTGTAATTAGATGGCAAAGTTGAAAACTCTCTCGCTGAATTTCTATTTACATGTACAAAACAGTCCAAAGGTGCTAAAACATGTTTTACATAAATGAGAAGTTTTAAAAATGATTACCAGTATTTCCAACCGACATCGAATCATAAATCAGTTTGCACGACTTGAGCAGATAAGTGACCTTCTTGTCCGGTGAATAAGCTTGGTGCATGGTACTCAGTTTCTGCTGTATTTTCTCCAAGAGGCTAACTTCAGGTACACTGGTAGTTACACCCAAATCAGTGGTGGTTGTGTTTTGCACAATCTGTTGGTTCTCTTTCAAAAGCTTCAGATTGCCATTTTTGGAATGAATTTCCTTTAGCTGCATGTTGATATGGTCTTTTAATGGTTTGAGAACACATTTACACAATGCTGATTCCACAACAGCTTCTGAAATAGATAAGAAGACTGCGCTGTTAATTAAGCAACACACATTGCAAATAAAAATTGACAAAAGGATTAGAATTAATTGGTGTAATCCATAAATTATATGAAGTACACTAAACTGCAGCTACTCTCTCTGGCTCCATTTGGCGAACTTTATTGAATGCCTCACAAATTGCTTTTGGTCCAATAATTTGAATGTAGTACTCAAAACTGGGAAAGATTACTGTGAATTTAGGAAATCTGAGGCAATTTTTTTTTCTGCTTTCCCATTTTTGCAAAGCAGCTTCTTTCTTGCTTATTTTTCCTTTCTTATCAAATCCATCCTCTAAAAGGTAAGTTCTTTCTCTAGTCTAATTTTCACAAGGTACTGATTTACATCTGTGTATTTGGAGGATATTCATTACAAAAATTCTTATTCCTTACAAGACTTTCATTAAGCATTTGCTGCAATGTTGTGTTCAATTTTGTCTCCTCACATGGTGGGGAATATTGAGGCTTTGAAAAGAGGGCAGAGGAACATCAACACATTACGGGGGGTTCTGCTATAACGCGATAGATGCGTTCCTGTGAAATGCTGCATTATGCAAAATCGCGCTATAGAAATAATGGGGCCTATGAGAAAAGGGGTGTTGGGGCAGACTAACAAAAATAAATCACTCAAAATGATTCAAAAATCACTCAACAGCATATCACAAAGGACAGCAATGTTTGAACAAATGTTTAATTCACATGTAATAATGACGTAACATTAAATTTATCACCTTATCTTGAAAAAATGTCAAGATGACTTGATGGGGGAGGAGGCTCTGAGGTACCTCTGCTGGTAATGTAGGGGCTGAGGGTTGTCATCATCATCATCATCATCACCTTCAGGTACAGTTGTGGTTGCTGGGTTACGGCGAAAAATAGTTAATCCAGAAGTGGATGGCTTTGGTTCATTGTCTTCTGACTGTTTCTTGGGGGTTGGCTTAAAAAAGACATCCAGTTTTTGCTGCTTTGCCCTTTTTCTTCATTCCTGAAGAAGCAGTTCATTGGGTGCCAAAGAAGATCTTACTTCACAAACTGCTATCCTGCTGCATTCTGCATTGTAATCATCATCTTCTAATCACTGCAACTGCTTCTCAATTTCCCTCAGGATAGAAGACAAAACAGAAGTGGAAAGCTCTCATGGTGCTGCATCCTGGACTTCATTTTCTTCATCTCCAGCTTCCACTTCCCCTTCAGTGACAAGTTGTTGTAGATCAGCTGTAGGGAGGTCTTCACAGTTGGAGTCAAGCAGCTCTTCAACATACTCACTCTTCACTTCTTGAAATCCAACTTGCTTTGCAAGATCAATACAATGTTCTTTGATTCTTGACAGCTCCTCTGATGGATCAAAGATTTTTAAATTTTGAAAAAATTCTGGGAGAAGCTTCCGGCACACTGCACGCAAGCAGTCCTTGCTGACATCACCCCAGGCCTCCACGATAATGTCAGTTGCATTCTTGATGTTAAAGCTCTTCCAAAACTGAAGAACATTGTCCTTATCCCCCTCCGTGGCTGCAATCAGCCTCTTAAATGTGCGCCTTAAATAATAAGCTTTAAAAGCTGCTATTGCACCCTGGTCCATGGGTTGAAGGAAAGAGGTTGTGTTTGGGGGTAGAAATAGCACTTTGATGTTTTCAGAAAGCTCACCAATGATCTGAGGATGGCTCAGTGCATTATCCAGGATGAGGAGAATCTTGAAATCCACAATTTTTTTCCTGCAATACTTTCTAAAAACATCTTTGAAAACATCATCAACAAGGTCAGAAAAAAATTGCCCCCATCATCCAACCTCTCTTGCTTGACCTAAAGTAGATGCCTAGAGTTGACTTAAGGTAACCTTTCAAGGCTTGCAGGTTGGCAGAGTGATACACCACCACAGGTTTAAGCTTTAAGTCTCCACAGGCATTGGCACCCAGCAGCACAGTCATACAATTCTTTGCCACCTTAAATCCTGGAATGTGCTTCATTCATAGAAATGTAGGTTCTTGATGGTATTCGCTTCTAGTATAAACCTGTCTCATCCAAATTGAAAATTTGATCTACGTTGTAGCCTTCTTTGCCAATTAATTTTTTACTATGGGAGGAAACACCATTGTATGCTCCCCGAATGGGCTGGCAGCTTCGCCACACAACCTTACGTTATGGAAAGCATAGCGGCTCTTAAAACCAGCAAACCAGCCACTGCTAGCACTAAAGGCAGGTACATCTGCAGGACTTTTGCCGCGTTTTGTAAGATCTTCTCATTTATGGTGAGAAGGGTGGTATTAAATCGCTTCTTCATTTGCTTTTCTATCCCCACACTTAGACGCTGCTCCATCTCCTCAAGTTCCTTTGTCCATGACAGCACTCAGACTTGTTCCAGCAATACAGCTTGCTTTAATCTTCTCTCCATTGTCTCTAATGGTCACATAAGGTAGACTCCTTCATTCCTGTTGCACGAGCAATATCACATGTTCTCTCATCATGTTCAAAACGCTTTACAACATCGAGCTTCTCTTCCGGTGTTATAGCCTTTCTTTTATGTCCACCACCCACAGTTTTATCACCAGGACGCTTCTTGCCACTTTGTCCTCACATTTAGTGGGGAACACTGCAGAACTGAACAGTACCTCTCACAGAAAGCATGAGGATCCTTGGTGCCAGTGCGGGGACTTCTTCGGCACATGGCAGGACAAAGCCCGTGAACTGATCATGTGATGTCGATGTTGGAATCGCGTGATAGCCAACACAAAGTTCTCATTTTACAAATACCATTCCCCTACTCGTCAATCACATTATAGCCAATCCACTTTGCCGGAACATTGCGTTATAGGAGAACCGCCTGTACTCCTAATTTAAAGAAGCACGGATTTCGGGATGATTCGATCGATGATTGTGAGATTACGAAGGGGCCAGACTGTGTCTGTGTAAATGGGTTATTTTAAAAGAATATATTAGAGTGGACCAGAAGGGAACTCCACAAATTACATGAGGGTTGAATTAAATTTGATGCTAAGGAATTCTTCTGTTCCCACAACCAGCACACCAGCTCATACAACAAAAACCGGAATTGATTCTTTCATCTGAGACATGTTTTTAATTGGCACCGAGATCACTTCATATAACTTGCATGTGCTTTGTAACATTAATTAGGTTCAGTGTGGTCTCTGGACCAGAACTGATCACCTGAAGGTCAAATTAACTGTCCTGTGCTTTTTTTCCTAATTGTTTTGGGTTTTAACCTTTCTTTCGCTTTTTGCCTTTCACAGGAGAGTACCTGGGTCTGAGTGGGCTGGGGACTGGATGTATTGTGAAGCTCTTGTCACAATGGTAGAAGTTCCTCTGGCTTCTAGAACTGTTGCATGCTTAGCAAATACAATAGAATCATAGATTCTCTACAGTGCGGAAAGATGCCATTCAGCTCATCAAGTCTGTACTGACCCACTGAAGAGCATCCCTCCCAGACCCATACCCCCACCTTATCCTTGAAATCCCACATTTCCCATGGCTAACCCAACTAACCTGCATATGCCTGGACGCTATTGGCAATTTAGCATAGCCAAACCACCTCACCTGCATATCGTTGGGCTGTGGGAGGAAACCAGAACAGCCGGAGGAAACCCACACAGATACAGGGAGAACATAAAAACTTCACACAGTCAGTCACCCAAGGCTAGATCGAACCAGGGTCCCTGGTGCTTTGAGGCAGTAGTGCTAACAACTGAGCCACCGTGAAATAGATTTCAACTTAGCTATTTCTCTTTAATGGCCTAAATGAAGGTGAAGCATGGTCTAATGTTGATCTGAAGTGTCTGCTGATCACCCCTCATCACCTCAGTCTCAACGGGCTGGATGCCACCTTAAATGCCCACATTTTCTGACTGGTATTTTGTCTTTGGACCTCTGCTTAGAAAAATGATCTAAGACAAAAACAGAAATTACTGGAGAAACTCAGCAGGTCTGGCAGCATCTGTGGAGAGAGAAACAGAGTCAATGTTTCGGGTTCAGTGATCCTTCTTCAGAACTAAGAGTTGTGTTGACGTCATTAACTCACAAATGAAAGCCTCCTGCCTTCTTCTGATGGGGATTGCTTCAGGAAAGATGTGTCACGCACAAAGGACCCAGAACCTAATGTTGCAAATCTTAACAACTAGGACCTGATACTCAGAGGGCATTAGACAGACTTGTATTTACTATGAAACAGATTCTTGTTTCACTATCAACTGGATTTACTGCAAAGTCTTGTCTATACAGTGTTAATGGATAGACTTGCTACTCAGAAGTCTGAGGAGAGACAAAAATAAAACATTATCAATTCAAGTAAGTAACTTCCAAATCGATAACATGTTCAATTTTTTAGAAGCAAGATCTTTAACTCAGTTGTTATTGAGCAAGAATTTCTTCTAATAAGCAGCATAAACTCACAGACTGTACAGAAACAAGATTTTCAGATCATAACATTTGTGCCATACGTTTTCACCATATTAACCATCTACAGTAATAATCCCACTCTCATTTATGTTCCCTGCTGCAACCTCCACCACTGCATAAGATTTTACATTCCTCAGCTATGAAAATCTCTTTTAAAAGACTTTGTGGATATGGTTTCAACAACTGTTTGTGGTGCAGAGTTCAATGTTATGACCATTACCGTGCAACGAATCATTTATCTAACCTTTCCTTAAATTCTTACAGTGGTCATCTTAACTTAGTGCCTCACAAATCAGAAATATAGCAAGGGTCAATCTTTACCCAGTTTTTCTTCAGATTGGTAAGATGAATCCACCATTAAGGTCAGCTCTGTACTCTGTAGTAAATAGCTCTTGAGCTGCGTCATCATCTGCCGAATCTCCTGCAACATTTCGGTGCTAGAAGTATGATTTTGCATTACTTCCATTGTGTATGCTTTGTAATCCTGGACCAGGTGACCAAAATAGGACTCCTTCTCTTGAGCCAGTTCTGTTATTTTCTTCCGAATTTTCCTGTCTGTTGAACGGAAAGCATTCAAAACATTGCTTAACGTCACAATCGACAGTCTGTTTTTCGCTTTGTCCAACATCATAGAGCGGCGTTGCTTCCTAGTTTGTGAATGAGTGTGCACTGGATCTTGCTCTTCCTCTGTGCTGCTGGTGGAGTAAGAATCCACTTCCGAAATGGGATTGGGTATGTTACCTTCAGGAGAGTACAACGACCCATCAGTTATTTTCAAATCAGTTAAGTTATATGATTGCACACAGTCACTCTGCACCGAGGAGTCAGAGGCATCTTCCGACTGATCCTTTATTGTAACTAACTTAACTATCTTTGACACTTTGTTTTCCTGACCTCTGGTAGTGTGCTCTTGATTGGCGTTTTTCTTGGCAAGTTGAGTGGATAACTTTTTTTTTCTTGGAGGTGCAATAGGTGTAGACTGACCTGATTGTTTCCATTGCTCAGTATTGGGCCTGCCTGATGTGCTGTTGTTCAGATCATCAATACTCTGCAATTTGTCACTCAGCAATTCCTGCTGTTCATTTGCTGTAGATTTGATGGAGTCTTCGACTAGTGGCTTATCATTCACTGTATTATCAACGCTTTGTTTCACTTCCTCAGGCTCCTTCCTTTCCTCTTCACTCTGGCTGCTTTCAAGGTCTATAGATTGCTTTTCCGATGGCCGACGCCTTGGTGGGACTGGTGGGAACTTGGGGATTGGAGTTTCTATATTGTCCACACTGATTGCCTGTGGCAAGGTCTCAATCTGCTTGATTAACTCGACATGCTCCCTTCCAATTTTAATTTCGTCATCATTTTCCTTGAACGCTTTGCCATACAGTGACTGGCTTCTATCTCCACAGTTATCAGACAGTGCAGCAATCAGTTCTGATGGCTTTGGTCGGGGAGGGAGTGGTGGAGGTCTCCTCACTTTTAGATCCATGTTATTTGTAGAGCTCAGGCGTTGGTCTCCTGATGGTTCTGTTGAAGGGACAGTGCCGCAATATTCTTTTATAAACACAGGATTGACAAACCACAACTTGTCATTTCCTGCTGACAACTCAGTCTCACATGAACTTTGCTTTTTGTCAGCAGACAAATTCGGAGTCATTTGCAGGCCTTGAGTCTGGATGTTAATGGCATTCAAGTCTTTCAAAACTGGAGAAGTTTCTTCCTGACATCGTTTGTTTAAATATGAACTCCAGAAATCTAACACAGAGGACACAATAAGCAGTAAGATCTTTCAGTCAAAGAAGTACAGCATAAATTGCAGAATAGTAGCCAAAAGTAATCATGTACTATACATTTTAAATATCTTACATATGAATATATGTAAGTCTAAATGGATTCACCTTTGAAATGAAACTTTGCATTATATTCTTCATCATTCACATCTATGTAAACTGTAACATATCTCATTGCTGAATCTGCAGCATAAAATTTTGAAACAATTAAATCTAATATGGTGGGACTGTTAATTGTAAAAGTCCTGGTCATTGTCATTAGTTTGTGACGTTTCCAGTTTTCTGCCTTGTTAATGGCAAGGAAATAGGCTACCCCCTGAACTGGGGTAGAGTCCAGCAATTTCAGAACTCCTCCACTTCAACTTGTATTCTTACCTATGATAATGAACCTAAAATACCTCAATGTGACTTTAAAAATAGCTTCTGATTTTAAATTTATGTGGGGACAAGGTACTGTCATTTTCCCACTTGTCTGTCCTTGATTTTGGTGTAAGGAACTGCAGGAGTTGTGATGTATCTGTGCCATTGGCAGCACATTTCTGGAATTTCTATGGCTCTTCTACTGAATGTGGGAATTGGGGCGGCACGGTGGCTCAGTGGTTAGCACTGCTCCCTCACAGCACCAGGGACTCGGGTTTGATTCCACCCTCAGGTGACTGTCTGTGTGGAGTTTGCACATCCTCCCCGTGTCTGGGTGGGTTTCCTCCGGGTGCTCCGGTTTCCTCCCACAGTCCAAAGATGTGCAGGGTAGGTGGATTGGCCATGCTAAATTTCCCATAGTGCCCAGGGATGTTTAGGTTAGGTGGATTAGGCAAGGGAAATGCAGGGGTAGGGGGATTGGTCTGGGTGGGATGCTCTTTGGAGGGGTGGTGTGGACGTGTTGGGCCGATTGGCCTGTTTCCACACTGTAGGGATTCTATGAACGACAGTGAATGAGCTGAGAAACCAGTAGTGTTCTGGGGTTCCCAGAAACAATCAGAGCATTACACACAAACTTTGGAGCTTAGAATGATTGTATTTCTCAGAACTCACCATTTTCTGCAGATTGGTTAACTGTCCTGCAGTAATGAGCGAAGTGATTCATTGAATATGTGTGTGGCAACATAGTTAGCATTTTGCATTGGAATTATATAACATAGAGTCATGGAGTCATACAGCATGGAAATAGTCCCTTCGGTCCAACTAGTCCATGCTGACCAAACTAAACTAGTCCCACTTGCCTGGGTTTGGCCCATATCCCTCCAAACCTTAATTATTCATGTACTTATCCAAATGTCTTTTAAATGTTGTAACTGTACCTGCATCCATCACTTCCTCTGGCAGTTCATTCCACACATGAACCACTCTCTCTCCCCTCACCTTAATAATATGTTCTTAACTCCCCCATTCCAGGAAAAAGACCTTTGCTATTCTCCTTATCTATGCCCCTCTTGATTTTATAAACCTCTACAAGGTCACCCTTTATCCTCCTACGTTCCAGTGAAAAAAGTTCCAGCCTATTTTTATAACTCAAACCCTCCATTTCCAGCAAGATCCTGGTAAATATTTTCTGAATTCTCTCCAATTTAATAATATCTTTCCTCTAGCAGGGAGACCAGAATTGGTTACAGTACTCCAGAAAAGACCTCACCAATGTCCTGTACAAATTCAACATTACATCCCAATTCCTGTACTCCATGTTTCCCCAAATTTGACCATTATGTCAGGGCTTCACAAATTTGAGGGTTGTGAGGTCCAAGGCAGTAATGGCTACCATTGAGCTCTGACTGAGAGAACAACTGCTGTGAGACAGTGTAAATCGTTGTGTTTTTCAAACTGTGGAAATAGCCTAATATCTGAACCTCGTGTTCTGGCTCCTGAAGCTTTAAAAACTGTGTACTTCACAAGCATTTCAAGAACATTGAAATATCCTGGTAACTCTCTCCATTCCACCTCACTATCTGGCCTGCTCTTGTCGTTCTCTCTCAGGGGGTCATGCCAATCTCCCAGCCTTGAAAAAGAGACAGAAATTTTGGAACCACCGTGTTACACATTTTGGGGACCACTTGAAAGCAGTTTTATAGAATCATTAACATCAAGTAGTCACAAAGAATTTGAAATGAAACTGAACATTATTTTGTTTACTTCTTTTCATTGTGTGTTCTTAAAGATGCATTTTGTTGAGACAGTGAGCCAAAGACGTCATGAGGAGGAAAAGGCTTGGATACGTTGCTGGAAACAATAATGTGAAGGTGCCAGTGAAAATGTAATACTTTATGCATTAACGCGATGAGGGTGTTACAGGCTAGGCAGCATTTATTACCCAGAGGGCAGTTAAGAGTCAACCACATTGCTGTGGGTCTGGAGTCACATGTAGGTCAAACGAGGTAAGGATGGCAGTTTCCTTCCCTAAAGGACATTAGTGAACCAGGCGGGTTTTTCCCCAAGAATCGACAATGGATTCATGGTCATCATTAGACTCTTAATTCCAGATATGTTATTGAATTCAAATTTCACCATCTGCTGTGGCGGGATTCAAACCTCGGTTCCCCAAATGTTATCTGGGTCTCTGGGTTAACAGCCCAGCGTTAATACCACTAGGCCATTACCTCCCCTGTTGTGCACATCCATTGTAACAAAGTCAGCCATCATTATCATTCAAGATGTCAAACACAGATTCTACAATAGACAAAATTTTCTGTCAGTGCATACCTATTCCCAGATGCGAAACAACTTGTAACTCTTCAGAATTTGTTGCTTCTGCTATTGCTTGTGGCAAAACCAGTGTTGATGGCAGTATATCTCTACACGCATAAAGAAGAGAATACAAAGTAAGTTCTTAAAAAGATATACTCAAGATGAATGTAAGTCTGTTGAAAGATATTATCGTAACGTTTTGCTAACCAATAACTTTAAAATCTATAGTACATTAGATATGTAGCACTTTAAGTAAAAAAAAATGCTCTCATTCTCACTGGTAAAGAGAAAGTTAAGTGGTAATTGTCCTTTCTCGATAATGAAAGGGAATAGATAATGTAGATTATGGATGGAATGAGGTAGGCAAGATGGTGTGGGAGCAGAACTTTCCCCACCCACCACCTGCTTTCCTTTGCCCGAATTCGGTTTTGGCTGTGAAGGCCCAAACTTTACCTTCTTGCACTTGAGGTCTTTAAGTGGTAACTTCATAAACATTGAAGGATTGTTTGCCTCTGAGATGCAATAATTTCAGCTCCAGGCAAGATGAGAAAGAGTCGGCCAAACTGACTGTTAAAACAGTGTAGGCAGCCTGACAGGTGAGATGGAGCTAGGTCCCTCAAATTAAAACTGAGGGACTGGTTATAGGGGATTGGCCACAGGGGCTCCCCATCGCTCTTCTATCTCAATCCCTTGGCACCTATTTCCCTGCAACCTGAGAGATCCCCACCAAACAACATTTACCCTCCATATGGGCAAGAGTGACCCCCAATCCTCAGGGTCTGGGTGATGTTGTCCCAGCAGCAGCTACGGTCCCCTCAGTGACACTGCTGAGTTTTGGATTTCTCAGCCTCATACTGGCCAGTAGCTCTCTGCGGCCAGTATAACCTCATAATATTGGCCCAAATCCCATTGAAACCAATCAGTAGCCTAACTGCAGGAAGATCCAGCAAGCTTTCAAATTCTGAGATCCCAAAGGAAACACCAGTAAAACTTGCGAATGGTCCATTCTGGTTCAACTTGTCTTATTTACTTCAAACACAGAGCTCCAGTACGGCCAGTAAGTTTTTTTTACAACTATTACGTTTTTTTTTAAATAAATTGTATTTTCCCCTCTACGGAAACTCTTGAGTTTTCCTCAAATCTGTCTCAATTTCAGACTTAATCCAAAAACAGAAAGATACCACCAACTAGTTCAGAACCACAGTAGGTGGCTTGCGGTTGAAGCATGGTAAATTTACATGTTAACAATAGTAAGAGGACAGAGATGATGAGATTTTTACTTCTCTTAGAGGGTTGTTACTCTCTGGTATTCTCATCATAGACAACAGTTGGGGCTGCGTCAGTGAATTTATTCAAGGTTGAGTTAGATAGGGACAAAAACAGAAATTGCTGCAGAAACTCAGCAGGTCTGGCAGCATCTGTGAAGAGAAAGCAGAGTTAGTGTTTTGAGTCCAGTGACCCTTTCTCAGAACATTTTGGTCAGTGGACTTGAAACGTTAACTCGTCAAGATCTTCCACACGCTTCCACTTCTCGCATTCAAACAACTGCCAAACTTTAAACAGACCATTGTTCGCAGCAAACTACCCAGCCTTCAGGACAACATCGACGACAACACCACACAACCCTGTCATGGTAACCGCTGCAAGACATGTCATCTTCGAAATGGACACTACCATGTGGGAACACCAACCACCACGTGCACAGCAGATATTCATGTGACTCGGCCAACATTGTCTATCTCATACACTGCAGGCAAGGATACCGCAAGGCATAGTATATTGGTGAAACCATGCAGACGCTATGACAATGGATGAATGGCCACCGCACAACAATCGCCAGACAGGGATGTACCCTCCCAGTCGGGGAACACTTCAGCGGTCAAAGGCATTTGGCTTGGATCGTCGGGTAAACGTCCTCCAAGGCGGACTCTGGGATACACAACAATGCAGAGTCGCTGAGCAGAGGCTGAGAGCCAAGTTTCGTACCCATGAGATGGCTTCAACTGCGATCTTGGGTTCATGTCGCACTACAGGTGACCCCACCACACTATACACTCTCACACACTCAGCACAGTCACACACTCACACACACACACACACACACACACACACACACATAAACACACACACACTCACTCAAACACACATGCATAAACACACACACACACACACGCACACACACACACACCCTCACACTCTCTCTCTTCCACACACACATATTCTCTTGCCCTCCTCTCCCTCTTTCCCCCTCCACATACACACATGCATGCATACTCTCTCTCTCCTATACACACACACTCTCTCTCTCTCCCCCCAACACTCGCGCACACACACGCACACACACACACACACACACACACACATACACTCTCATTCACACTCTCTCTCCCCCTCTCACACACACACACATTCTATTTTGTTCAAAAGCACACATTTTATAGAAAGTCAGTCAATGTGGTATTTATAAATTCCTACTTTAGAAATAAAACCAGTCTGACTCCAAACCAAAACACAAACAGATTCTAAACAAGGCCTCCCATCTAACATTCATTGTCTGTCCTAAAACGTCACATCTTCTTTACACTGATAAAACCTTTAGTTTTGTCAGGACAATGACTTGAAAGAAATTCGGGGATTTACATATACATATTAATCAATTAAACCTTCTAACTGATTAAAGATTTAATAGCATATTAGGTTTGTTTAATACATCCTCATCAGTGGTGTGACCCTTTGATCTTTTACTTATAAATTCTGTGTTGGATACTACCTCTCTCACTAACACCTGAAGAAGGAGTGCTGCTCCGAAAGCTTGTGGTTTCAAATAAAGTATGGTGTTGTGTTACTTCTGACCTTGTCCACGCCAGTCCAACACCAGCATATGCACATCACTGCTTTCTCTCCACAGATGTTGCCAGACCCGCTGAGAGTCTCCAGCAATTTCTGTTTTTGTTTCAGATCTTCGTTATGAGCAGTTCTTTGCTTTAATTTATTTGAGTTAGATAGAGCTTTGATAGAAAAGGAACTCTAGGAATGTGGAGGCAAACAGGAAAGTCTTGTTGAGACCACAGACTAGCTGTGATTTTATGAAATGGTAGAGCCAGCTGGAAGGGTTGAATGGCCTACTTCTGCTCTAAATTCTTATGTTCCTGTATTTTCAGGTCTCTTGAGAAGTGAGAATGCCAGCACTGTATCACGACTAATGCTAAAGTTCATCATATACATCCCACAGGGAGAGTTTCAATGATCATTAATAATTTTAGAACACAGAACATAGAACATTGAACATAGAACAGTACAGCACAGTACAGGCCCTTCGGCCCACGATGTTGTGCTGAAATTTTACCCTAATCCTAGGGTCTATCTAACCTCCACCCCTACCTTATACTATCATCCATATGCCTATCTAATAGCCGCTTAAATGCCCCTAATGAGGCCGACTCCATTACCCTCTCCGGCAATGTATTCCACGCCCCTACCACTCTCTGAGTAAAGAACCTATCTCTGACGTCTCCCCTATATCTACCTCCACTCACTTTAAAACTGTGCCCCCTCATAATAGCTACCTCCACCCGAGGAAAAAGTCTCTGGCTGTCCACTCTATCTATACCTCTGCTCATTTTGTACACCTCTATCAAGTCATCTCTCATCCTTCGTCGTTCTAAAGAGAAAAGCCCTAGCTCTCTCAACCTTTCCTCATAAGACCTTCCCTCCATTCCAGGCAACATCCTGGTAAATCTCCTCTGCACCTTTTCCAACACTTCCACATCTTTCCTGTAATGAGACCAGAATTGGACACAATACTCCAGACGTGGCCGAACCAGGCTTTTGTATAGCTGGAGCATAACTTCACGGCTCTTGAACTCAATCCCTCTATTAATGAAAGCCAACACACCATACGTCTTCTTAACAACTCTATCCACCTGGGTGGCAGCTTTCAGGAAACTGTGGACATGAACCTCAAGATCCCTCTGCTCCTCCACACTGCCAAGAATCTTTCTGTTAACCCTGTATTCTGCTTTCAAGTTTGTCCTTCCAAAATGAATCACCTCACACTTTTCAGGGTTAAACTCCATCTGCCACTTCTCAGCCCATCTCTGCATCCTACCAATGTCCCTTTGTAACCTTTATAATAGGATTGTTAATAATATTGCTTCCAAGATGAACTATAACTTTACTCCTATTGAGGCTCATTTCTTGTTTTCCATCATACATCTGTGGCTTTGCATTATCTCTGCTGATTCATGTGGCCTTTCACAATTGGAACGCCTTAACCCTTTGGTGTCAATTGGACTATTGTTACAAGCATGCTTGTTTCAACAAATGACAAACACAAGTGCAAGTCTTCAGATCATTAATCAAAGGTAGAATTCCTTGAGTTGGTACAGTGTGTGACACAAATGAACAGGGGTTCTCATCCTGAGTAAACATGACAATAAAGCTTAAATCAAATCAAAATTTAAAGAGAAATGCAGAGCAAGAAACAGTGATGCAATGTAAATATTTTTGTGCATTATCTTGCCAATAAGCCCCAGTATAGAGTCCAAACTTATTTTAAAATAGAGGTAGTTGACTGAAAAAGAGGAATTTGAGAAACAGACCAGGAAAATGATGTTTGCTTGGGTGAATGACACGGATGAAAGCACAGTTTACACTTGAATGGTTGTTTCTATGTCTAATATCACATGATTCTGTCAGCTCAATTTTTAGTTTAGAGCCACAACAGGCAGTCAGCAAGGGGATTCTATGATTCTATGAAGATGGGGATGGGGAACAGGGAGTGGGAGTGGGTCGAGGAAGCAAGCAAATATGAATTTCTTTGGTAGATAGCAAGATGCTGGAGTCAGAGATAACACAATGTGGAGCTGGAGGAACACAGCAGGCCAGGCAACATCACAGGAGCAAGAAAGTTGACATTTCGGGTCGGGACCCTCCGAAAAAATCTTCAGAGAGTCACTTAAGGAATAATGGTTGGGTTGCTGAAAGCTAGTGCAAAAACAGCAGACCTGTACAATGCACCCATTTATAACTGAGGCTTATAACCAAGATCTTAGGTATATCATGGGACCTTGATTTGAACATTAGATGTGATTCCATTTCTAACTTGAAACAGCAGTGGATCCGACTGCCCTTTTTCAAACAATCTGCAACAGGGTCATAAATATCCTACCTCTAGTAACAGCTACTTATCCACCTGCACAGCAGCAGCATTTAAAACTGACTCGTGTTGCTCTTGCACTAGAGTTGGTGCCTGGAACCAAACCTTTTGACAGCAGAAATTCAAAGTGCAGAGAACAAACGCTGCTTTATACTGACCGTCAAATGGAGTCTAGCAGTACACACATTCATTAATGAGAGAAGTATCATTATCCTTGAAGCCTGAGCTCTGAAGAAGTGCCTTACTAGATAGCCCTTTACATTAGTTTTGTTTGGGGTGGTTTATACTGAATTTGTAAATGCAGATTATGAAATATCATGCCTGCAATGCAATTTGTGCATACTGATTTTGAAGTAAATTCTAAGCAGCATTTTGCACCAGGCACACGAGGATGTTAACAGAATGGTTATATTTCTTCATTCAGTTTTTCGTCTCCCTGAATTTTCTTGCTCAGGGAACTTTCTTGAAGTGGACTCTGAAGATAGGCACCCTGGAGACACCTCCAGTATTTAGGCATCATTTGAATGACATGCCACATTCAACTAGATTTGTCCCGGCTCCTGTTCGAAAAGAGGCAGCTTCCAATTTTTGCCTAAAATGGGTATACTTTCTGCCCAATGCCACTGGAACAGATCCAAACCAATTTCAGAATCAGGATTCAATTTGTAATGGGTAATGTCAAATGATACTTCTTTAAACATTTTTCACTCACAGGATGTGTGTGCCACTGATGAGGCCAGCATTTATTCCCATTTCTAATTGGTCTGAAAAGGGCTGGCTTGCTAGGCCATTTGAAAGGGCATTTAAAATCCAACCACATTACTGTGGCTCTGGAGTCATAGATAGGCCAGACCAGGTAAGGACAGCAGATTTCTTTCCCTAAAGAGCTTTAGAGAAGTAGCTGGGTTCTTACAACAATCGACAATGGTTATATAGTCACCATTATGTTAGTTTTTAATTCCAGATTTTTATTAAATTGAAGAGAAACTGAAAACAATATTTTCAACATCTAATAGCTAGGAAAATTACAGCCTTCCATTAAGATGTGCAGAGCAAGTAAGTTGAGATTCCAACGGAATGGGTCGTGTTTGAGTTTTGATGCATTTAGAAAGAGGAACTCTGTGTGTACTATACAGTCATACTAACGAAGCATGGTTTCTGTTATAACATAGTTATGCATCATTATTACATAAAATGCCTTCTTTATTAGGTAGGTACATGGCTCCCACACAACTCATAGCAGAAGTATTGTGAAATCAACCTCCAACAATATCGCAATGATGTCAATCTGTAGATTTCTTGTATAATTCCTAAAGCCTCCATGATGGATATTAGTGCTGTGAGGTTGTCATTGGAAATGGGCTCATACCGTTTACATAAGGGTAACAATGGACAAAGAGTTGGTCCACCCAGCTGAGAAACAGCAGCATAGGGGTAGATGTCAAGACAGCAGATTTTGTTTATAATTGGATGAAAAATTACATTAAACACACAACATATTTTTTGTTACGTTATAGGACTGATCACATTGGGATTCTAAGAACAAATATTAAAACCTGTATTGCACACCACATCACATGAACAGAATGGATCAGCCAAACATTAACTTACCTGCTCACACAATAGAATGTCACCATTTTGAAGATATCTTCAAAAGCCAATAAGGAGCCATCCAAATACACAACTGAAAAGAAAGAAGAAAAGAATTGACAGCTTCAGTAACCCTGAATTAATGGTGTTACATCTATAAACAGCCAGGAACTATTTGCTATGTGAATATATTTCCAAGGTTGCCACATATTAAACTGACACCATGTGTTGAGCGCTAATGTAGCAGTCTATCAGTCCACCAACAGCAGAGACAGTAGCAAGAAATACATCCTTCCCCATGCTGGGGTCAGGTACTGAGTGCCTTTGATCAAGGGCCTCCCCCCAATCCAGGAGCCCTCAAGCAAGCCCCACAAAAGGAACCGCCCACCTGCTGCTGACCTAATAGTGGTGGTTGCACAATGAGACCACTTCGAGCTGATTAAATGACACCTACCACCAAACATGTCACAAGGGAGGGCCCAAGATTCTGCCTGATGAGAACACTGTGGGCATTGGAGCCACAATGCTGCATGAAATGACTGGATGTGTCAGCTCCCAGATTAAAAAAAAAGACCCATACAACCATTCAGATCAGCAAGAGGCTGCGATATAAGCCTACAACCATAAATCTGAAGCTGCAGCTTGCTACTGGGACACAGAGTAACTTCACAAATTGAACAGATATTCTGCATTGGTCTTCACTACGGATGATACAAGTAACATTCCGGAAATAGCTGTAAATCAGGAAATGGAAGGCAGAAACAAACTCAGGAAAACTATAGTCACCAGGGAGGTAGTACAGATTCCATCTGAGCAAATTAGTGGAGCTATGGCCTGACAAGGCCTGAGTCCTGATGAACTTCACCTTCAGCTCTTAAAGAAGTAACTGGTGAGACAGTTGATGCATGATCTTAATTTTCCAAACTTCCTTAATATTTAGGAAAGGTTCAATTAGACTGGAAAATAGTGAATGTAATTCCTTTATCTGCAAAGAGAGGGAGCTATCAAACAGGAAACTACGGGTCTGTTGCAGGGAAAATGTTAGAAGCTGTTATTGAAGAAACTATAACAGGGCACTTAGAAAAGCTCAAGGTAAACACAGAGTCAACATGGTTTTATTAAAGGACAATCATGATGAACCAATTTATTGGCGATCTTTTAGAAAGTAACCTATGCTGTGGATTACAGAGAATTGCACTGTATTTAGATTTTCAGAGAACATAGAGTGATAAGTGATAACAGTGTGGAGCTGGAGGAACACAGCAGGCCAGGCAGCATCAGAGGAGCAGGAATGTTGACGTTTCAGGTCGGGACCCTTCTTCAGAGATAGCTCATAAGATGCCTCATTAAAGATTATAATGGAAAATAGAAGCTTGCTGTGTACTGTGAAACATTTGGCATTTAGATAGAAGTCTGGCTGTTTAGCAGGAAACAAAGCAGACATAAACTGATCATTTTCAGGCTGGCAGGACGTACTGAATAGTGTCATTGGGGTCATTGCTGGGACCTCAACATTTTACAATCTCTATAAATGATTTGATAAAGAGACAGAAGCTATAGTTGCTAAATCTGCTGATGACAGGAAGAGAAAGGACTTTTACATCAATTCACTATAAACCTACAAAGTATGAGGCCACTTGATGGGAATATTGTTCCTCTTCTATCTCTGGAAAAACCCATAAAAAGTCTCTAAAAATGTCAAGGCCGCCTGGTTTAGACATCCATGCTGACATTCCTAAATTGATTGGACAGTGTCTTATACGTGTAATCTTCACAAGTGTCAGGTAAAGGCTAACAAATAACTCCAAGTATTAGGTAAACTAAAAGTGACCTTGAGTTAAAGTGATGGATAGGGGAAGTAGTGATGCTTTGGGTATCTGTGGTCATTGAGCAGAGGTATTTGAACAAGTGACTGATTTGGGAAAACAACTCCTGGAAATAAAGTTTACTGATGGGTGCTGGGAGGCAAGGGACAGTCCTCACCTGGCAGCTGCCTTCTTCTGATAGAGGAAGACCTGAGAAAATAGAGGAAGACTGGGCAAAGAATTTGCTAATGTCTTAGCTCAGATCAAAAGGCTGTTTCACTCTGCATTATGTGTCTGTTTGTCCTCTGGCATTAGTAAACAACTCGTAACTCAGACTTCATGTGCTTTTCCTATGTATACAGCTTATGCTTCATATCTGAACTGTTGCTTCTTAAAAAAATACTTTTACTAAACTTACCTTAAATGACTAATGAGATTTGTACTGCCTATTTTGGATGATATATGATTCCCATATCTTATAGTAACAGAATCTCTACTAAGAACTATTCTCTGAAAGAAAGTGTAGCGAAGGCTTAATGTCTGACAACGTTGAACTCAAAGTAAAGTATGTTGGATTGTGAGTTTGCGAAATAGAAAGAATTACAAGTAAACCACTGTTTCACTTTGAGGGATTGTTTGGGGCCTTGAACAATGGGGAGAAAGAATCTAAAAAAGCAGGTGTATCTTGTGCTTGCATAGGAAGGTGTCATGAGAAGACAGTGGGAACTTGGGTTTGATGAGGAGTCACGGTCTTAGGGAGGGAATAATCCATTCGGAATGGTGTAGGGATTCAGGGATGTGCGGTGAAGACGTGTTTGGTGATGGCATCTGTTGAGTACGATTGTTGGTGGTTGGAAGGTGGTAACTACCTGACAAAGCAATGGCTGTAAAGTGTATCATTCTGAAAGCTATGCTTTCAATGGTCTTTAATAACAGAGGCAAAGAGTACAAAAGCAAAGCATTTTTGCTGAACTTACACGAAACAGTTCAAATGTGCTGTGACTTTTGGTTCTAATTCAGGTAACTGAAGGATATGAGAGCTTGTAGAGGGTTAAGAAGAGAGTTATTACAAGAGTTCCAGAGTTGATGGATTACAGGGAAGCTAGATTTATTGCTCTAAGACCAAAAGATAAAGAGAAATAAGATTTGGGGTTCAGCGCTTCGAGCCTGCTCAACCATTCAATAGGATCATGACTGATCTGACACTCCTCATGTCCACTTTCCTGCCATTTTCCCATAATCTTTGATTCCTGACTGATCAAGAATCTATCTCAGCCTCAAACATACACATAGACTCTGGCCCCACAGTTCTCTGTGGCAAGGAGTTCCAAAGGCTCTCTACCATTTGAGAGAAGAAATTCCCCCTCATCTCCATTTTAAATTTCTACCCGTTTATTCTGAGACTATGCCCGCTGGTCCTAGACTCTCCCATGAGGGGAAACATCTTCTCAGCACTTACCCTGTCGAGCCCCTTAAGAATCCAAAATGTTTCAATTAGATCACCTCTCATTCTTCTAAACTCCAATGAGTAGAGTCTCAAATTGTTAATCTTTGCTCATAAGACAATCCCTCCATACCAGGGATCATCCTAGTGAACCTTCTCTGACTGCCTCCAATGAAATAATATATTTTCTTGAATAATGTGACTAAAACTGCTCATAATACTCCAGACGTGGTCTTTCCAGCTGCTACAACTGTAGAAAGTCTTCTCTACTCTTACACTCCAAATCCCTTGAAATAAGGGCCAACATTCCATTTCTCTTCCTGATTACCTGTGTGTTAGCTTTCTATGCTTCATTCACAAGTACACGCAAGTCCCTTTGTGTTGTAACTTGCTGCAGTATTTCCGCATTTAGATAATATTGTTCTTTTGTTCTCCCTTCCAAAATGAACTTCACGTTCTCCCACAGTATATTCCATTTGCCAACTTTTTGCCCACTTACTTAACTTAACAATGTCTCTCTGTAAACTATTTGTATCCCTCCCACAACTTGCCTTTCCACCTCGTTTTTTGTCTGCAAATTTGGCTACAGTTTATTTGCTTCCTTCATTGAAGTCATTAAAGTATACTAAAAGATGTCACAGTTCCAGCACTCAGAGATAGTAAGAACTGCAGATGCTGGAGTCAGAGATAACATAGTGTGGAACTGGAGGAACACCGCAGTCCAAACAGCAGCAGAGGAGCAGGAAAGTTGACATTTCGGGTCGGGACACAGAAGAAGGGTCCCAAACCCAAAATGTCAACTTTCCTGCTCCTCTGATGCTGCTTGGACTGCTGTGTTCCTCCAGTTCCACATTGTGTTACCACAGTTCCAGCAGTGATCCCTATGGAACTCCACCAGTTACAGATTGCCAAACTGAAAATGGGTTCCTGCCCATTCTTCAATTCTCGATCCATGACAATATATTACCTCCAACACCATGGGCTCTTATCTCAGCCAAGAAGCCCGAGGATTTGATGGAGATGTATAAAATCATAAAATAGATAGAATAAATAAAAACTGTTTCTGATGGCTGAAGTCTTGATAATCAGATGACACATTTAATTACATTAAATTTGATTGGCAAAAGAAATAAAGGCAACATGAAGAAAAGTCCTTCCCCAAACAGTGGTCAGGGTTTGGAATGCACCTCACCTCCTGATATTGTAATGGATATGGGTTAAATTTGTGATTGAAAGAAAATTGGTGAAATACTTGGAGAATAAAGGGAAAGAATAGGTGCAGAACATTTTGGTCAGAGTGAGGGCTTTGAAAAAAAACCAGCAAAGACTCGATTGACTGAATGATTTCCTTTTGTGCTGCACTATTCTAATCTATAAGACCCTAAGTACAGCACATATGTATTTAATAGACAATTTCACAGCCAAAAGTTGGGAGTCGAGGGCGGGGACACAGATAAGGGGGCTTGGAAATGGGGAAAGAACTAGGGCTGATGTTTTCTTTTCTCTGTCCTGGGTTGAAGACCCTAACAACCACAAAGGATGGGGTTTCTCAGCTGGGGATAAAGAAAAACATACAAGGGAGTCAGGCTGATTCAGCACAGCTTTGTCAAGGGGTGATCATGCCTGATAAATCTGTTCAAATTCTTTGAGGAGGTAACAAGCAAGTTAGACAAAGGAGAGCCAGTGGATGTGATCAATCTGAATTTCCAGGAGGCCTCTGAAAAGGTGCCACACAGAAGGCTGCTCAATAACTTAAGAGCCCATGGTATAAGGGGCAAGGTCCTGGCATGTATAGAGGATAGGCTGACTGGCAGAAAGCAGACAGGAGGGTTAAGGGGTCTTTTC